GTCCACAAGTCTTAAAGTTGCCAAGGTTGGACACCCCTGCTCTAGAGGATGCCAGTTTGAAGAAGGCATTGGAAGCGGCCCTTTAAATCCCAGCCAAAATCTACAATGATTAGCCAATAGAAAGATTTAAAATATTATGGAAACAATGAAGCGCTAGAGGAACAAAATACCCCAATCCTTCATGAGATAATAATTAAGAGAGGAATCACATCTGAATTCAAATGGGGAGACATCCCATGCTTAGCCTGGCATGCAAATGTTGTGGCTGCTGTGATTGCAGGAAATGTTTGCTTTCTTGAAGAGATAGCATGATGGCGTGATGATCCAATTAAAACAAGGCATCGTTTCCCCCACTTTGGAATCCAAAATGTCAGGATAGCACAGAGATTGCAAAATGGATGAGAACGTGTGTGGATGGAGTTATGAAAATCGGAAGAAATGTATGCTTTTCCATACTACTAGTTATGTGACTATTACAGGACTATGTAAGTCCTATGTATGTGTGGGTATCACTATGTGTGCAAAGCCTAACCCAGAGAAGACAAGGAGCAAGTCAAATGTGGTGGGAGAAGGTAAGATGATTGAGTTGAGGGAAATTAAAGTCATGAGATCAACTTGAAAAAAAGTAAGAGAGATGATTCCAATACATTTCAGTCCCATTTCAGATTTGCTACTGTGTTTCCCTGAAAATATGACCTACCCTGAAAAAAGCCCTAGCCTGATTTTCATGCCTGTGCCTAAAATAAGCCCTACCCAAAAATAAGCCCTATTTAAGCCCCACCCACGATCTGGTTGTATGAGGTGGAGTGACGCGCAGGCATAAAAATCAAGATAGGGCAGGGATGGGGGGGTTGGAGCTGCTCCATGCGCCCTGTACCTGCCTACCTTAGAACCACCACAGCCACCTGTACCCCGACACCTGTTGTGCCACTGACTGACTTCTTCTACAGCCACTTGTGGCCAGATGCCATGTGGTGCATTGCACTGGTGCTGTCTCTCAGGGAAGGATGCCACATGGCTCATCACGCCGGTGCCTCCGCTCGTGGTAGAATGGTGCAAGGACATCTGGCCTCATGACATTCTGCCACGAGGGACAGAGGGACACTGGCACATCGAGCCACATGGCATCTCTCCATGAGCGGCCACAGAAGAAGTCAGGCAGCAGCGCAACAGGTGTCAGGGCATGGGAAGCATGGCTATAGTGGTTCTAAGTTAAGAGGGTAAGACATCCTTGAAAATAAGACCTGGTGCTTATTTTAGGTCCAAAAAGAAAATAAGGCCGGGAAACACAATAGTAATTTGTGAAAAATCTCCATGCCTTCAAGAGTAACTTTAACCATAATTTAAAGTTCGACGTTTAGTCCAGACATATCTTCATGTTATGGATGAGTGACTGGGTCTTCCTCATCTCTCCCACACATTATTTCACAAGGAGAAAGGCATAAAGAGAATACATGAGAAGTGGGGGAAAGATATAGCCACATGGGGTTGTAGCTCATGTATTAACTTGCCAATATCATAACTGAAGCTGATTAAAATTCCAGTGGTTTGGACAGTTTTAATCGGCATCTAACATTAGTTGCTTTTGATACATCTGCTTGAAGGCTCAGCTCTCTGGAGAAGCTGCTTCTCTTGGAAATAATCCGTGAAAAGTTAGAGAATGCAAATCACGATGCAACTCAATGGGCATAGTTTCCCAAGCCATGTGAAATACTTTCCTATGAAGCTGTATCTGAATAGAAAATATTTTCCTTCTGATTTATATTCAAACTTCCAATTGTTAGAGTAAAATGACACTAAGGTGGGCATGTTATTATCTGAAGGACTGCATTAAAATACCTGTAGAAATAATGGTGCTAAAGATACTCTAACAGCTGTAGCATGAAACTGAGTTTTTGTACCTGAATGTCCTTTGCAATGCTATTATGGAACAATCCTGAAGCACATCTGCTGATTGTGTGATGCCTCACTGCTACCTTACAATCAATCCTAGACTCTTCAGGGTGATTGATTGCGCATTTCTGTACAAAGAAGTTGTGCAAGTATTTTTTTTAGCACTAATGAAAGCCTGCAAGTTCTGTCTCCAATCTGCAAAACATTGCTTCTAAAATCAAGAATCTTACTTTATTAAACCATCTAGAATAGCCTGTTGTTTCTATCCACCTCTAGATCCATATGCATCCTTTCTGAACTGCAACAAAACCAAAATGACAAAACACACATCACAATGTCACAATGCAACCTCTTGTCTTTCTGTACATACACATGCAAACACACATATAAAGGCTGGTGCTTGCACGGCCATGTCACAATGATGCATGTTTTGTCACTTGCCCCCTTCCTGCAGATGCCCATGGCTACCATTGTCCAACCTTAAGAGGGCAAATTGGTGCACATACAGTCATGTTCATGTCTACTGAGATGTGAGTTCTATTCATTTCAGGCAAAACAGATAGATAATGTTGTGGTTAGCCGGCAGCAAGTGCGGACAGCTGAGGAGAGTGAGGACTCAGATGAGGGGCTAGGACCATTAAGGAGTGGACTGCTGCCTTCAGAAATTGTGGGGGCTGGCAGCAGCGATGAGAAAGTTCTCGAGGAGCCAGTGCCATGTGGGCGTGCGCGCAGGATTGCTTGCAGGAAAGAGCAGCTACAACAGCACAGGCAACTTGGGAGTAAGGCTACAAGGTAATGGCCCCTCCTTCAAGAAGATAAAAGGCAGCTGTGCAGTGAACGTTCTTTGTAGGAAGCAAAGACATTTTGAAACTCAGCCTCGTGGACATTACAGTTGGTATTTGAAGACTCTTGTGTTGTAAACTATTTCTTATCTATTGTTTTTTGGCAGCCTTGCAAAAACTTGGCAAAGCTCTTTCTTGTCAGAGCTAATTAGTTGGAAGCAGCCTTTTATCTGTGAAGAAACAGGATTCTTAGCTGAAATATTAAAAGGTTGTGCTGCCTTTGTCTTGTGTTTGCTCTCTTGGAACCAGGTTTGGGTCAGAACAGATAAGTACGCGAAGAATCTGGGCCATAGTTTTATGTTGCAATTCTCACAGGTTTCCCAGAATGAATCGATGACAATGGAGGTGGGTATGGGTGGGAAGGGACCAGCAAGTGAGAAGAGATAAATTGATGCTTCTTTGCCATGAGTGAAGTCTGCAGCTTCGCTTGTCGTCTACACCTAACCTGTACTGAGGAGATTTGCAGTGGCATTCAGAACTGCAGGTGATGCTCCTGGTCAACGAAGCACAGCCAACTTGAGCTCTACGGAGCAAAGGCAGGATATAAATGCAATAGACTTAACTAACAGTCCAATCCTATGCAAATTTACTCAGAAGCAAGTCACCTTAAATAAGAACGTATCAGAATATAAAGCTCTTCTAGTTCAGAGCAATGGTCCATCTAGTCCAGCATCCTATTCCTACTATAGCTAGGCTTGGCCTCTAGAAATGATATTCAGAGGGATGCTGCTTCTCATCAGAAGGTTGTATAGACCATCCTGGGTAATAAACTTATGGGTTGGATTCAAACATCACACCCATCCAGAATAGGGTTCATTTTGGGGCTTAGCATAAGAGAACTCATCCATGATGACTTAATGTTAGTTGTAACTGAGGTAATTAAGGTTTGTTCAAACAACCATGGCTAGAAATCCATGGCTTACTTTTATGTGTGATCCTATATTATATGTAATCCTCTTTTAAAGCCTGAGATAAAGGCTATATCAGCATCAAAAGGGAAGGGATGTAACTTGCAAAAAAAAAACAAAATTCCTAAGTTTAGCCCTTGCATCTCCAAGTAGGTAGAAACATGCCTGTCTGGGATTTATTGATAGTACTGGGCTAGATGGACTAATTCCAAAGTAAGTATGCATAGGATTTCAACCTAATTATCTACATCAACTCTTGGAATAAGCTTTCTTCACTCTAACTTCCTCCAGATCAGGGGTCTCAAACTCAATTTACCTGGGGGCCGCTGGAGGCAGAGTCTGGGTGCGGCTGGGCCACATAAGGGATTCCACAAAAAATGTTGTTAAAAAAATACCCTCAAATGTCATCAACAGTTAATGATTTCTCCAATACATGAACTGTCCTGAACACATGAATGGAACATTGAATGAAGATCATGAACAGTTCCTCAGAACATGGCTTCTCCAGCTTACTCCTTGCTGCCAGAGACTTGACAACACTTCCTCTCACATATCTGAGCTACATTTGGCTTGAGAGAGGAGGGACTTGAGACCCTCAGTATGGCTTGAAGATGATCATCAGTAAGTCTGGACCTGTACTTGGACTTGTTAAAGTTCAGGGTGGAGAAGAAGCCACGACGAGGAACGGCGGGTGGGACTTCCTTCAGAGGTCCATTCCCCCTGTGGGCCGCACTAATATTATACTTTCATATCATGGTGGGGGCCACAGGATATCGTCCTGCGGGCCGCAATTGGCCCGCAGGCCGCGAGTTTGAGACCCCTGCTCCAGATGATATTACAATTCTAGAATTGCCGGCCAGCAAACTTTAATGGATGAAAATTTGGGGATTTCTTAGGTCAGTATATTTAGGGACTGGCAAATGGGGAAGAGCTGATCTATGCTACGGATCCCACAGGGAGCTGCAGAAAAGCAGAAGAAACCAACATTCTCAAGTCAAATCCTTTCATAGACAAAACCAACACGATTAGAACAAAAGATGCAAGCCCACCCCTTTGCCCAAGGAAATATTTCTAGTACCTCGGTTCAACTTTTTTCCTTTCTCTACAAAGCTCTAAATCCTCACCAAAAAATCCAATCTATCCGAGAGCAGAAAATGTTCCTTGCTTTTATAAAAAGAAAATAAATCAGTGTATCATCTCTATCTATCTATATATATATACACACACAAAAGATACATATACATATATACATATATAGATGCATTTAACAGATCCTCGCAATGCAGATGTCTATTAGCAACATATAAGTATAGACTAAACATCTGCAGCCAAAATTAATCGAACCAGTATTTTCCCCCCCATCTCCCCCAAAAGAGGAAGCTCTGTTGAAAAGCAAGCAGGTATCAACACTGAACAGACAGGTCACAACATTGCATGACAAAAATGATGCATCACCCACTCACTGTAGTAGGGCCCTAAGTCCTACCCCTAAATTTTAACACTCTCGGTTCCATATACGTTGTAACCTTCTCTATAAGTTGCTAAATTCTGGGTATTCTGCGAGGAAGTTGGATTAAAAGTCTGTGCACTCTTTGCCACCTTCATTCTCTTCGCCTCGGCCCTGGATTTGTAACAGAACTCTATCAAAGCCACCAGCATTGCCAGCCCCAGGCCGCCAACCAGAATGTAGAAGACGCCAGCAACGTTGCTGAGACTCAGTGCGCTCGTCTTGTCCTGGGGAAACAGAAGGGAAAGTGTTACAATCCAGGAACAAATAGCTGGAAGCACAAACAAACAGCAGTCTACAAAAACAGGAGGTTGTGGGAGGGGGATTGTCTGAGGAATAGCTTCATTTACATAAATAGGAAATTTTTAACAAAGTACGTGCCAAACTGACAAAAGAGACCTTTCAAATTATTGGTATATCCTAAAATACACAGACATGTAAACCCATTTTGAAAAAAAAAATGCAAAAGTTGACCTACGCTTAACCAGCCCTTTGCAAATGGACTCCCTTAGCTACTGTATCAGTAATAGTGAAATAGGTTTATGCAGTTAAAGGCAGTAGCCTTCAAACATAGCTAGCTTAATGTCTAATTGTGGCTTAGACATGAGCTTATTTTTTTTAAAAAAATACTAATGAGCTTATTGATCTATACACTATTTTTTTTTTGTTAGACGCCCAAAGTCATAGTAAACAAAACATCTGAGAAGTTTTCCAAACACTTGTCAAGTATCAGTTTTAATGAATATTACTTACAGTGTGTTTTATAAACTCAGCAAAATGCATTCTCTATCAAAAGCTATTATTTTGGACACAAGGAATCTTTTTCTTCAACTGCTACTCTCTAATGTCCTACAGTACTGTTATCGCTCTCATTAAAATCCTACTTAACCAGTTAGTTACAATCTGATGAAAAGTGAAAGTCAGGAAAGCCACAAAAACATTAGTAACATTCCTTGGATCACTAGGTAGAGAATGGAAAACTTCAGAATTTGGGGTTTTTGTTTCATGATTGTGCTTTTTTTTTAAAAAAGTGTAGAATGTTCTTTGTTCGGTACTTCACAATTTTACCAGTTTTGAGTCTAAACAAGGGTGTATTAGTTTTAGTGTGAAATGATATTGTTAGAATTCATTGTTCATTTTGGTATGGCTGGTATAGATATCAGGTATAGCAAGCTATAGCATTTTCAGTGAGTGATTGTCTACCTTAATTCTTTGTATAACAAGTTGTTTTGGATTTGACACTATAGTGTGCATTGTTAATTAACCAACTTAGTAGATCTTGCTTTAAGCAACAAATAATTTTAAAAAGAGTGAATGGATTGATCTTGATGACTTTTAAAGTCAATTATTATAACAATGCAAAGTAAAGGTACATTATTAAATACAGTAACTCTTATCTGAATTATAGAATGCGAAATTGGATGACAGTGCCTACATTGTAGCATTCATGTTGGATACATAAACTTTAAAATCTTAGACTTTCAATGCTACCAAAAAAATAAATAAATCAGGGCAGGCTTTATTTATTTTTTTAAAAAATGTGGGGAATTAATTTCTGAGCTATCAGATGCTCTAGAGCTGGGGTGTCAAACTCGGCCCGAGGGCTGGTCGCATCAGGCCACGCCCACCCGTGATCTGCGATGGGAAAACCGTCACGATACATCACGTGACGACAACGGAACAGTCGGCTCCATAACAGAGTTAGAATGGAACTCCAGTACTGTGTAGTGAGAAAATGGCTTAAAATTAGACTATATTCAGATCTCATAGAAATATTCTAAATCATTCAACATTCTTTTGAATCTAGGCATTCTATGTCTACAAATCCAGAATATGGAGGGGGATAAAAACACTTTGGGCAGATTAAAATTGAAAGAATTTATTGATGGAAAAAGCTTTTGGCTATGTGTTCTCTCTGTTTGTTTGTTTGTGTGTGTATATATGAATGTGTGCAGTCTTGATGAATGTGGCTTTTGCAGATATGTATAAGTGGAGTTGAAATGTTGATTAGTGATTTTACAGCAGTATTAATAGAATATAATTTTGTTCCACAGGAGCTGAGACAAAATTAACATCTTCAACAAGATGGTTCTTCAATAGCTGACTTATTTCGATTCCTAAGTGTCTAATAACTCCCTCGTGAACAGAACAATAGGCCCCGAACTTCAGCAACTGACCTTACTTCCAGAATCCTTCGGTCCACATTCACCTTTATCGTACCACCATTTGTTTTTCAGCTTGTCTAAGACGCCTGCCTCACTGAGTTTCAAAACGGCAAGGTTTACAGGAGTTCTTCACGTGGGAAATAACATAAATAACATTATATATGTTATTTTATGTTATTCAAGCAAAACTACATAGAATCGCATGGCAAAGTGATGGAGCACAGGCCACAGTGGTGGTTACACCATGTACAGAGAAGGCCTAGGATCAGAGACAGCTATACCAATGGGACCTGCTCCATCGCTTCAAGTAATGGGCGCGTCCTGCTGGGTGAAGTTTTAAATAATTTGTCTGCAATTACTGTAAACCCAAAACTATTGGCTTCAATAATCCTTAATACGTGTTAATGGATTGTCAGACAGTTTGAGAACTTTCCTGCTTTTGTTTATTTTTTTAAATATATAAATGGATGCCTAGCTATTATCCTCAAAAGAAGTCTACCACTAAATTGTCAGCTGAGCAGTTTAGGCTAGCAAGCCAAAACAGATTTTATGAAAAATACATTCTATTGAATTCAATGGGATCTACAGCTAAGTAAAAGTACTTAGACTTAGACAATATGTATCTATTGCAATAGTCTTTTTCAATTGTTATATTTTTCAGAAAGTAGGATATATGGGATGGTTTGTACAAGGCTTGGTTACTATCTACCTTAATTTCTTATTCTAGTAGCTTGTTTGGAATTTCAGTAATTAAACAGCTTATATATAGCTTTAAACAATTACACTATTTTAAAATGAGACTATGATTTGTTTCTGAATTCAATGATGACTAATATCAGTAATTGTAATACTATAATGTAAAGATCTATTATTCAGCAAAGTAAGAAAAAATTGAATTATAAATGTACAAGGCTGTTGAAATGATACCAAGGAGAAGTATGTTCATATGACATTAATGTGTGGAATCATAACTTTTTAATTTTAGATGTTCAAAGTGTTTTAAGGGATAGAGCTTAATTTTTAAAAGAAACGTTGGAAATCAGATGTCATTAATTCCTTTTTCTGAGTTTGCATAATACATTCAACCTTCTATGAACCGAATTGTGTTTAAAAATACTAACACAACATAAGACACCCACAAGATCTAACCAACCTTAAGAGCTAAGATTAGCATGTCATAGATTGTGTATCTGTTTTCACCTGACCTGGGCCAACATAGTATGCATAGCCTCAGAACAAAGATAACAGGTGATATGTGTGATATAAAATTGATCCCTTCCATACTTGCATTGTGCAAGCATGTAAAGAGTGGAGCCTGCATTGTGATGTCACAGCATACAGTTTGTCATTTTGGCATCATTATGTAAATCTGTCCTAACGAAGAATTATGTTAGGGCAAGAAAAATACTTGATAAAAGATACACGATGAAAGGGATTTATTTTCTTTAAAAGAATTAGGGGTGAGATTAAGCCTATAGCCCTTTATTGTTAAACTAATTATTTGTAACTATGCCACATGTTAACTTATCAGCATTCCTCTATCTTCAGGTTCAGGAAACTTACTTTGGAGATAGATATTATTCCTGAATGGTTCACTTTTTCAAAAAAAGTGAATTTCTTGAGCAATTGCCAAAATGACAAGAAAAACTCCAATTTGGACTTCAAGACGAACCAGCTGGCCTTGGTGAAAAAGAAATTTGTTAGGATGCAAATATTTTTGCTTTGACAGTAATTGCACACATCTGGATGTTGGCTGGCAATGTATTCGCAGTGCCACAGGACATCGTTGGGTCTGGCGAGTAGAAAGGAAGAACCACAGCAGACGCACCAATTACTCAACAGTTCTGTTTACCCGCTTTGGTGACATTGAAGCTAACCTTGGAGTCACCTCCCCCGCTGCCACACTCTCCTTTGTCGTACCACCATTTGTTTTTCAATTTGTCCAAGAGGCCTTGTTCATTCAGTTTTAAAACTGCCAGGTTAACAGCATTTCTTGAAACGATAAAACATATCTTGTAAGAAACTGCATAGCTGTTAAGATGTTAGAAGAAATGAGGATTTAAAAAAGCGTTTTATCTATGCACTAAATAAACCTCTCATTCATATGTTGCAAGAGTCCTGTAAAAAAAAGAGAAAGCAAATTTGTGGAGGGAATATGCATTTCGGGCATTTTAAAAGAAATAAACTTGATGGTTTAGCACTCTAACAAAGCTATTTGATCATGTTTTTCCCATATGGTAATTAACTCAAGAACAAATATTCAATTTTAAAATACACACACACACAGACACACACATTCAATATTTAATCTGAATATGTATGTGTGTGTGTGTGTATGTGTGTGTGCATTTTGTAAGAAAAGGTAAAATGAACTTCTCTGATGCGATCTGAGTTTATTTTCAATTTCCTAGGAAGCAGTTAAGAGACTTAATTGTTACCAGCAACATTGGTAAATTCCATCAATGGGAATTGCCTGCTTTCATCCTAGAAGCTGAGTTTATTTTATTTTATTGTAGCCAGACATATGCATCCTATCTATTGCTAAAATTACATAGGAGGCAAATCTCCAGAGAGTTTTATATCATAGCTTCTCGTGTGAAGTTAAGTTAAGCATTCACATTGCTCAATGTGACTTAAAATAGGTTTAATTTTGTATGAATTAATGAACAGAGAATTAAAGTACTTATTATTACATTCTGTCAGGGAACATTTGTCCCGGGTCTGATGTTTTCTATTAGGAATTCCATTCCAGAATTCTCAGCCAGCATGGTTGTTTTCAACCCAGCTTCATCATTAAGGGCAGAATGACAAACCAGGACAAGATACTGAGGTAGGCTGAAGGTGGTCAGAACTATTGAGTCTGGTAATCTAGCCCTAAATTTCCAGTTTTGTGCCTCTTCAGAGGTTGCACTCTGCTGCCAAGGGAATTCTGAGATTTTATAACCCATGTTATAATCCATTTAGGCAGGGGTCTCCAATCTTGGCAACTTTAAGCCTGAAGGACTTCAACTCCCAGAATTCCCCAGCCAGCAAAGCTGGCTGGGG